ATGGGAATTCTTTGAATAAAAATATAATTAGTATCTTTTCCATAGCCTATACTATATTTGATATATATTTATCAGGAGAAATGATTTTAGTTAACCTATGCAAATATGAACTGTTTTTAAGAAGAATGGAAGAGACAGCAAAAGAAAATTTAAATAATTCATAAATGTCATTGTTTTACAGAAACCAAGTGAAGGATTTTCACGAGGGAAATGAGAAGAGAGTACCTTCCATAGAAAGAGGTATGTACTCTAAGTGACTAGGGAGTAGTCTGATTCTTAAAACAAACTGCTTTAACTTTTTTTGAGACAGAGTTTTGATCTTGTTCAGGCTAGAGGACAATGGCGTGATCTCAGCTCAATGCAACCTCTGCTCCTGAGTTCAAGTGATTCTCCTGCCCCAGCCTCCCGAGTAGCTGGGACTACAGGTGTGCGCCATCACATCCACCTATTTTTTGTATTTTTAGTAGAGAAGGGGTTTCACCACGTTGGCCAGGATGGTCTCCATCTCTTGACCTTGTGATCTGCCTGCCTCAGCCTCCAGAAGTGCTGGGATTACAGATGTGAGCCGCCGTGCCCGCCCCCCCGCCCCAAAATGGCAGTTCTTATCTTGTAAAATTTAGTATAATTAAAAATTGTTTTGGATTTTAAAAAGCCATGAAATATGAAACTTTTAGGACACATTACGATTTATCCTTTGAAACCTTTTTAGTAAAAATTAATTTGGATCTTGGCAATCACTAACGCCTTTAAAAACAATGAAATGTATTACAAACTCTGGATCTTGGGGATCACTAACACATTTAAAAACAATGAAATGTATTACAAATTCTGGAAACATCTTTCCTCACTCACGATACAAAAACCACCAGAATATTTTCTCTAAAACGAATACAGCATTTTACAAAAGAACTCTAAATACTGGGAAACGGTGCCTATTTTTAAAAGTTTATTTTGTGATTGAAAAACAGTAGCGCTCTCTCTTTGAGGCCCTATCTTGGCAGCACACTGCATGAAATCTTTCCTCAAAGGTTTTGGTTGTCATGGTGGCTTATATTGCTTTGGGAGGCTGAGGAAGGAGGGCTGATTGAGGCCAGAAGTTTGAGATGAGCTTGGGAGAAACACAGTGAAACCCTATTTCTAGCAAATTACAAAAAAAAAAAATTAGCTGGGCATGGTGGCATGCACCTGTAGTGCCACTTACTGAAAAGGCTGAGGTGAGATGATTGCTTGAGCCCAGGAGGTGGAGGCTGCAGTGAGCTGTGACGGCACCATTGTACTGCATTCCAGCCTGGGTGACAGAGCAAGACCTTGTCTCAAAAAAAAAAAGTCTTGGTACAAAGTGTTCTTTAAAAAGATCTATTAACCCCACATATGAGTACACATTTTTATATCAGATTTTAAAGGCTCTGATCACTTGACAAAATTACTTAATACTCAATTCTGAGTATAAATAAACTTGTCAATGGGGTTCTGTGTCAAATGCTGTAAGAGAGTCCTCAAATTAGAAGAAACCCATAGCAACACCTTTTGTAAGAGTCAGAAACAGTTTCAAGTCTGCTTATAATAAGTTCAGGTTGAATTTCAGGCTTGGCTATCTTTCAATTTTGACATCTCAAGAATGGTAATAATGACAAGAGGAAGGCAGATATTGAGCAGTTCTGCTTTAAAGTCTCTCTCAGACAGTTTGCATTTTTCAGCCACATGCAGAACTAACAAGCTCCCTAAAATAACGAAATTCCTTCACTCACATTTTCTTTATGTCCCAGGACTTTGAGACTGAGGAAGGTTAAGATAAATGCCTTCCCAGCAAAATCTGACAACTGCCTCGGTTATATTCTGAGAGAAGGGGGTCCGTGGGGAGAGCAGCATCACAACGTTGTCACAAACGTATCACAGGCCCTTCCAGACGTTTCCTGTAAGTACAAAACTCATTATTTCAAAATTCCTGCGGATTACAAAACATCTCTGAATTATAAAATCAGAGATTTTCCACAATACTCATATTTTTGTAAATATTACATGATATTTTTTATTTCCAGGTGTGGTATATAAAATCGACAGCTTACAGTAAGAAATATTTCTTATGACAAAACACTTCTTATGCACTGTATTGCTTTTAGTTTTGAATTATTTCAAGGCATATTAGAAAATGAAAAAAGATAAAAGATCTTCAGTATATCTAAGATTAAATGAACCAAGTTACTTAATTCAGTGATTTCCATATCAACGATGTGACTACAAGTTAAAAGTGCGGAAGTCCTAAGTGTCTCTTCCTGAGAAATTTCCCATTCAGGGCTCAAGAGCACAACACTTTTATTAGCGTTTCTCTGGGGAATCAGCTGGCATTTCTCTGTCTCTGCAAACTGGACAGCAGGTTCCTTTCAGCAATTCAGGACTGGGACAGGGAGCCGGGGGACAAGTCTCCACCGTACAGGTGATCTGGCCACTCTGAAAGGTAACGTGCACATATCATCTCCATGTTTCTTAAAGATAAATAAATGTTTCTTATAATACACATAATCTAATAAGCTGTCTGTCTCAATATGATAAAAACTGCTCTGGATATGAGATCATTTTTCATGATTTCTATTCATTCTTTCTACACATTTGCAGCACAAAGAGCATGGCTGCCCTATAAAATGTTACTTACCTTACTGTACCATATGGTAGGATATGCTGAGGAAGTTCATTCATTTCTAGAGGGCTGGAAATAATCAGCTCTCTTCAAAAGGCAAACGAAATAACGAATACTGAGCTTTTTTTTTTTTGGTGGATAACATGACAACACTTTTTTATTTTTCCATAGAATTGTGTAGTTGACCAAGTACCTTTTAGCAGCGTTTATAATTAGCCTAACTGGAGAATAATGAGATGAACTCAAGTCCCAGGCTGTCTCAGTTTACTTGTTGACATAAACTTCTTAGCCTTGGTTCCCTCGTCCATCAGTGAACATGGAAAGTGCTCATTAGATGGCTATACTTTTTAAATCAATAATCAAAAGCTTCAAACTTTCACACCAGTACCTTGATCTTAAAAATATGCCTAGAATCTACTGACATAAAGTATTTTTTTTCTCCTTTTGAATTTTTCAAGTATGTTTCAACCGGTTGGCTGGGAGAAGTGAAAGGGGGAGGTGAAGGGGAAAACTCGCAGCACGCACCTCACAGACGCAGTGAGTGCAGTCTTCCTTCATCCAGCGCTCCTCGGCCTTCCTTGGAACCCCTTTAACATCTGTACACCCTGCCTGCCTCAGGCGTGCCTCCAGCTTGTTTATCTGAAAGGGGAGGCAAAGGAAAGAAGACTGGGAATTGAAGCGGAGAGCAACAAAGCCGATCAATAACGTGGTTTGATGAAACGTTCTATTCTGTAAGCACACACCTAAAAGGCAAACGAAACTTCAAAGCTTACATAATTTTTCTTAACATTTTTCCCCGGAACTTAATGAGCTTGAATCATTCAGTGTCCAAACTAATAAACCGTTTTGTAGGTGTGAAAAAATATTGAACACAGACCTAGACTTTGAAATAGTTAATTTCTAAAGGAAGGAAAATTAAAATCAAATGAGTGAAATTACATATTTGGAAAATCTTCTCAATAAACATAAATATAAATTCAACTAAAAAGTATTTTATTTATTTTTGTCCCCCAAGTTGTTATAAAATAACATTTATTTAACAAATATTTATTAAGTAAAGATGAAAGCAAGCGAACCAGGGTCTCTCCGACTTTACAATTTGGTAGAAAGTCCAATAAACCACAGCTGTAAGCCATTAGGTAATGAAGGTCTTTAGGAATCCCAGGAGGAGCAGGAGGGAAGTTAATATGGTCTGGCTGTGTGTCCCCACCCAATCTCATGTTGAATTGTAATTCCAAATGTTGGGGGAGGGACCTGCTGGGAAGTGACTGAATCTTAGGGGCAGATTTCCCGCATGCTGTTCTTGTGATAGTGAGTTCTCATGATGGTTTAGAAATACGTGGCACTTCCTCCCTCATTTGCTCTCTCTCCTGCTGCTATGTGGCTTCTCCTTTGCCTTCCACCATGACTGTAAGCTTCCTGAGGCCTCCCAGTCATGCTTCCTGTTAATGCTAAGGAACTGTGAGTTAATTAAACCTATTTTCTTCATAAATTACCCAGTGTCAGTTACTTCTTTATTGCAGTGTGAGAATGAACTAACACAGAAGCTATACTGAGTTCTGCCTCAGGAAATGAGGGGATACCTTATATTATGGACTGAACTGTGTTCCCCAGAAATTCAGAAGTTAAAGCTCTAATCCCCAGTGGGACTATGTTTGGGCAGAGGAACTCTAAGGATGTCATGAAGGTTAAATGAGGTCATGGGAGTGGAGCTCTAACCCAATAGCATCGGCCTCCTTGTAAAATGAGGAAGAGACACCAGACATGCTCACATAGGGAAAGCTGTGTGAGGACACAGAGAGATGGTCACCATCAGGAAGCCAAGGAGTGCGCCATTGGAAGAAACTGTCCCTACTGACACCTTGATCATGAACTTTCCGCCCCCAGACTGTGAAAAAATAAACTGTTTATGTTACCTATTCTCTTGTATTCTGTAATGGTATCTGAGCAGGCTAGTATATGGAAAAAAGCATGTGAGTTGTGAAAGACAACCATGTCTTTCAGGAGAACAAGCAGGGAAAAGGCATTTCAGGCAACTGGAAAAAAGTGTATGTATGTGTTAAAGCATGGGCACCACAAACAGATCAGTATTCCAGAAATGTATATTTTTCTCCCCTCCGTTGTTGGGGAGATCCACAGAGAACATGTTAATGGAAATTGAGGTGGGATGAATGGGCAGCAAAGAAAATTAGGACCTTAAAAGTCACATAAATTAATTAACTACAGTCTCCAGGCAATGGGAAATAAAATCACAATAATCACTCAAGTGGTAACATGAAGGATCACTGGTGAGAAACTAGCAAGGTGACCCATATGGACTTCACTGAAGAAGGAGGGAGTGAGACTCAAAAGAGTCATGTAGCAGGTAGAGGAGGTTAAATAGATGTGGGTTGAAGGAGAACAGAAGAACCTAAAATAGTTCCAAAGAATTTCCAGTTTTCATCAGGTGCATAAAGGATGAGATGATACTCACCAAGATATTGTTCTAGAAAATACAATCCAAAGGAATGATAATGTATAAAGAAATTAAACATTTTTAATTGAAAGGGATTTTTAAGACTAATGGAGATAACATAATTTTTATGAAAGAAGAGTTTACATCCAAGAATACTGGATGATTTGTATAAGCTACAGCCGCATTTTCATGTGTTGAATTTTGCCCCCACCAAAAATTTGTCTGATGAAGTCTTCACACCCTCTACCCTAGAATGTGACCATATTTGGAGATAGGGACCATATAGAGACAATTAAGGTAAACTGAGCTCTCTAAGATGAGTCCTAATCCAGTATGACTGGTGTATGTATAAAACAATGAGACTGGCACATGGATACGCACAGAGAGAAGACCATAACAAAATGTAAAGAGAAGGCAACCATCTTCAAGCTGAGAAGAGAGGCCTCCGAAGTCAAGCCTGCCAACGCCTTGATCTCAAGCCTCTAGATTCCAGAACTGTGATAAAATAAAATTTATTTTGTTGAAGCCACCTAATGTGTGGTATTTAATAGAGTATACCTAGAAAATTAATGCAAACACCACGAGGTACAGACCCAATATCTTCAAATGACTTTATTGTACATATGAATCATACTGGATCTATCCATTAACAAGTGTTCTTTCCAGGTTTTTCTGATCACTGTTATTTGGTTGGAGATTGCATCATAATGTCAAACACTGACTAAGGTGGTATCTATGACGAAAATTATTGTGCCCAAGACAAATTTTGAGTAAGCAACTGACCAAACTGGATGGCTGGATCAGAAAAGTGATTATTTATTTTTAAACAGTTATTGAGCATCTGCTGTTTGAGAGATTCTTAGCTAGGCCTAAAGGAGACTCAAATGATAATAATCTAGGGTTTCTATTCTTATGAGTCTGTGGTCTGGCAAGGAAGAGTGAATTTGTACAAAAAATAAATATGGTGCAGGCCCAGATGTGTGCCATAAGAGTACACACACATGAAAGTTCACGGAAAAACAAATTACTTTTAGAAATAAGGGATGAGAAAGGTAGTTCTCAGGGAAGAATTTACAAATTAAGTGGTACTTGAGTTAGGACATCAATAAAGGTTGTATTTGGACCTGAGAGCGTGTACGCACATGAGGTTATAGAATGGGGGAAGGGAAAAGACATTTTAACTAGAGAGAAAATGTATAAATGAAGTAAAAAAGAGGGGAAGGTGAACAATTTCAGCGGGGGTAGCACATAACATACGAGAAATGGGTTATTTGGAAAATCAATTAAAACATGGGTTAGGATTACGTTGTAAAGATCCTTAAATAACATGAACTCAGACTTCACTGAGAAAGCAAAAAGTCTTGATGTGAAATAATTTTTATTCTGTAAATTCTTTTCACCAATTTGTAGTAGGACAGCAGGATTGGATCTCAGAAGATAACTTAGCTTGAGTGCCTACCTTGGACAGTGGCATCCACCCATTAATTACCAAATAGATACATTTAGTACCTGATATGTACCAGTTAATACACTAATAAACTAGCAAGGCTTGATCCCTGACTTTAGCTGAGCAGTGAGAATGGAGAAAATGATAAGACAAATACTACAATGCAGGCTGGAATGACAGGGCTTCACAAGGACCAGATAAAAACCAAATAATCCATTGCTTGAGTGGGTTCATGGGTTTGAAGTATGAAAATCAGAAAAAAATCTCTGAAGATACAAATGAGTGTGTCCTAGCAGACATTAGGACACACAGAAAACTTTTATTTCCAAAAGTACTAGGAAAATGTATATCTATTCTAAACTTCAGGCACTTAGAACAGTAAAGCTTTTTCTAATTTAAATAAAATTACAAATTAATAAATTATTTAAGGGAAACAGTTTTCGGTTCCTGTTTTTTGTTGTTTCGTTTTGTTGTTTTGAGACAGTGTCATTTTGTCACCCAAGCTGGAGTACAGTGGCATGATCACGGCTCACTGTATCCTCAACCTCCAGGGCTCAAGTGATCCTGCCCCGTCAGCCTCCCAAGTAGCTGGAACCACAGGGGCACGTCATCATCTCCAGCTAATTTTTATTGTTCCTGTTGTTTGGTAAAGATGAGGTCTCGCTATGTTGCCCAGGCTAATATTGAACTCCTGGGCTCAAGCGATCCTCCTGTCTTGGCTTCCCAACGTGCTGGGATTACAGGCATAAACCACCACATCCTACCCTAAGAAGGGAAATAAATAGTTTAAGAATCTGGTATGTACCATAAATATAAGAAATACAGTACAGGGCAGTTTTATTCCAGGCTTAACTACAAAGCCTTGATAATGAAAGGATATAATTTTCCTTTTCTTATCACCCCATGTGTTCTTTGTTAGTATATAAAAATGTCATTGATTTTGTACATGTTTGTCTTGGGTTTACCTTGTATCCTATAACCTTGCTCAACTCATTTATTAATTTTAGCAGTATTTTTGCAGATTCCTTGAGATTTCCTATGCAGGTAGCTGTATCATCTGAAAATAGTTTTACTTCTTCCTTTACAATCTATAGGCCTTTTCCTTTTCTTGACTTATTGCACTGGCAAGAACTTCCAGCATTAGGTTGAACAAGAGAGGTGAGAATGGACATCCTTGCCTTGTTTTCAGTATCCTGCAATTTTAGGGAGAAAACATTCAAGCATTCACCATTCAGCATGTAAATGGCAGGGTACTGTTTCCCTTTTGCTGCTTTCCACATGTTTTTCTTTTTATTTTGTTTTCAGAAGTGTGACTATGATGCATCTTGGTGTGCATTTCTTTGGAATTGCCCTCGCCCTCTCTCTTCCTTCCAACCAAGACTTGGATGACATAAATTTTGGAGGTTTTATGACAATCCCACAGGCCTCTGAGGCTCTGCTCATCCTGTTTTTGTATATGCTGTCTCTGTTGTTAAGAACGTATAATTGCTAGTCTTCTATCTTCCAGTTCACTGATTCTTTCCCCTCTGATCTCTATTCCGCTTTGAGCCCATCTATTGATCTTTTTTATTTCTGTTCTTGTAGTTTTCAGCTCCAAAATCTCCATCTGGTTTCTCTCTGTGCCTTGTCTTATTCTGATGTAATTTTTCATCCATTTTTCATTTGTTTCCAAGTGTGTTTGAAATTGCTCATTGAAGCATTTTTTATGACTGCCTTAAAATCTTTTCAGGTAACTGC